TCTCGTGGTTTCGCCAGAGTGAGCTTCTGACAAAAAGACCCAGAAATAAAGGCTAATGTTGAAGCCAAAAACTGAAACCGAAATCTGACAAAAAGCCCAAGAAGCTGGCGACACTGACAAATGGCAAATTCTTTACGAGGCCAAAAGCAAGACAAACAAAACAAACTGGCAAACAAACGGACATAAATTTTATTGACATTATGAACAAGATCGCGGTGTGTAGGAAATGCTTGATCTGGCGGCACTGGAACGGAAGTGGAGACTGCTGCGCACTCGACTGTTGAGATTTGCTGCTGCTGCTGCTGGCCTGGCATTGCAATGCCGCTGCAAGAATAATGGTTATATGTTCTCGTTCGGTCTCGGTTGCTACTGCTGCTGCTGCTTTTTGTGATAGTGACTCAGCAACAGTTGGCTGGCATTCATATAGTACATATGTGCCTCACTCACGTTTAGGACATTAAAAACGTCAAACCGACATGCAGTTCCATAATTCAATGGGTGCGTCAAGAAACCACAGAGAGATGTGTTGCTTAATCCATCATGAGTGGAGGTGCTCAAAGGGTCTGGCTGGGTATACCTGGTGATTATGGTGGCTAAAATATAGTAATTTTTATTTATTTCGTGAGGAAGAATCTGGGGGAAATAATGAATATGCCAAGAAATTAAGTTTTTATGATTAAAAGGACAAATATATTATTTTGAGGCTTGAAATAATAACATAATAAAAGTAATTTTGTAGTATTACAGACCCAATAAGAAAAAATGTCTTTAGAAGGCCAAGAAAACAATAGATAGGTAGGTATATAAAAGTATATTTCTCAGTGTAAGAAGCCCTAGAACTGGCTCTCGAAATCTTAGTACACATTTCATATATATTTTGTTTACTGTCTGCTGCCGCAACTCGTTTTCTTTTAAAGCGTCAATGGCCGCTTCAGGGTTATGCTGCAACAGGAAGTAATTGCCAGGGAGACCAAGCCAGATCTGATCAGATCAGTTCAGTTCAGGAGGAATCCGGCAAAGCACCGCACCGCACCCAAAAACTGTACTGTAATTGGCAATTGGAGTCGCATATTCTCGCCCTGGCCAGTCCCAACTAATTGCTATAAGCCACGGTGCCATTATTCTAATTGATCCGTGAACCAGTTTCGGTTTAAGTACAAACTGACTCATTCAGTTGCTCTGGACTCGTTTGCGGAGCTCCGGCCAGATTGCGCAAGGTCGTCTGGTCGGCGGGACAGGACAGGTGCTCACGACTTGGCTTAATTGTGACGTATGCAACTGGTCCACCAAGTAGTTAGCCGCAAAAATCAAAGCCAAGCTAAAATTATTGCCCAAACAGTTATGACTTATGTGACTTTACATCCCACATCCCAAAACGCATGTCGCGGCGGCTTTTCTTAAATTTTCTCTGTGTGATTTTTGTGTATTTTCATTTTTATTTTACCTCTTTTTACTTTGTGCTGCGCTGCGTCTCACCTTGAGCTTAATTTCGGTCAAGCAAAAAGGCGTTCAAGATTTAATTAAATTTAGCGGCGCGACAGAGCCGACGGACGGCCGGACAACATTGATTCGACAGCCGCCAAAATGGTAAATGGATGAGGGGAAAGCCGCTAACGACCACATTTAAATAAATCGCACTTCAAACGAGCTTTCGAGCGTGCAAGCGCCGAACTGCAGCTCCCCCAAAAACGAAAGACTTAGGCGACGAACGCGACGTAGGCCCATGATTAATGCAACATTTTGCGTAATTTGTCGCGCCTGTTGAAAATATATTGAGGGAGCATGAGCACCAGCAACAGTCAGCAACATTAAACGGCAACAAAAGCCAGAAAAAATGTACGCAAATGAATTGCAATTTCTGCGCTTTCTGTGCTTTCGTGCAAGTGAAATCCAACAATCACACAAAACGGCTCATATTTTCACATACCCTCGATATGATTGGGTTAGGCGGGGTAGATATGTTTTTACTATATATAAAATAAAATATGTATGAGATTTAATGGCTTTTAAAAGGATTTTTTAAACAGTTTATATCTGAAAGTTTATTTTGAAAATTAATTATACTAAAAACCTTAATGTTTTCCTTTTAAATGTATCTTAAATTAAATAAGATTCTTCTATTCCCCCATTCCCCTATAGTCTTAACTTTTAATTATTTAAAAATAGTTAAGGGTATCCCCCAATTCGAAACCCCTGCTGCGTTTAAAATGCAATTTTCTCTGATTTTTCATTTGGACTTGCTGTTTCTTTTACTGTTTTCCTTTTTTTTTTTTTGCGCAAGACAATTGAACAAATCCAATCATGCTGCTGGAATGCAGTTGGCTTGTCTCTCCTTGTAGCCAGTGGTGGCACCCGGTACTCCCCCTCCCCCTCTCTCTCTTTCTATTATTTATTGACTTTTATTTGGCGCTGTCGTAACCGCAGTCAGACGCAAAAACCAAACTTACATACGACTAGGCGGCTCTTTTTTAAGCCAATAAAGAAACGTTAGTTAGGCAGGGAGCTACACGGTTAAAATATATATTAATTTAAATTAAAAAATGCACTTCTCTAAAAAAAAATGTTTAATTAATATTCTTTGGTCTACTTTTGTAAAAGATAATTAAAGAAATTAAGTGTCAAAACTTCATAACATGAAACAGAGTATTTTCAAAATTTCCCCCCGTGTAACTTGGCTTTGCTCCAGCGAGCCGTTAGACAACATGGACACTAGCTAATGATACCAACACATATAGAAAACAAAAAACAAAAACACAAAACCAAACACACAATGGACATTTGTGGAAAACTTAGCAAATGCAACTTGGACAACTGCCCGAAATGGACAACAAAGTACACAAATTTTACGCAAGAATTGTATTGAAAGATGATTTGCTAAAGCAAAATAAAAATAATACAAAAAAAAAAACCAAAAAGGCAGGAATTCTGAGAGGTGATTTTCGCTTTCGCACAAGGAAAATGAAAGGCATTTGAGAGCCAAGCTTTGAGCCAGAGCCCAGTTGGATTTCTCTTTACGGTCATTCCGTTCATGTTTATTTCCGCGCCCAGTTCCAGAGCCAAAGATCCAAAGCGAGAGCAAACCAGTTGGTCCAGTACGAGACCGAGTCCAATCCCCAAACAGTCTCCGTTGCCGCAGCAACTTTGCCTAACTGGCCACACGCGATAAGGAACCTTTTGCGTTAGCTGTTTTGCTTTGGCTTTGCTTTGCCTTTGAGAGACTCTTGGTAATTTATGCAGCCGTAAATTAATTTAAATAAATAGCCCAAAATATATACAAGTTGAAACCAGTTTCACTTTTTGTTTTTCTTTGAACGATCGAGAGATCTAAGGAAATTGCGATCCACTGAGAACGATTAATTGGGGGATGTGACCATAAATTGTCAACCTTTTTCGGTTCGTGCTGGTGACACGACCTTGAGCGATACCTGGGGATTTAATATCCACATCCAGAGCCAGCTTTCTAACTGTAAGATCTGGAATTTAACAATCAACTCATGCCTGTGCCAATTCTGGCCATTTCTCTTCTCTCCGCGGGCTAACTGTTTGTTGGTTCGAGGGCCTGCGGCTCAATTTGCATAACCCTGGCGTTGTGTAAGGTGTTCTTAATGGAGATGCCCGCGGAATGACCAATCAGGTGAACGGCTAATGGCCCAGAGAACCTCTACTAATAATATAGGTAGACGAGGTTATTTGCTAAAAAAAAAACTACAAGTAAAAAAAAACATAAACAAAAGCCATGTGAAAGGTACACATAAGGTTTAGTATTTGTGTAGGCAAAGATAAAATACATATTTTAAAAGCATAAAAACAACTGCATTCTCTTTTGGCTTGTTAGATTTTTAAGGTTAATGTTTTTCGTTGAAACTATAAAATTTCTTTGAAATTTATACATGTTTGTTTAGATTTAATTGAAGATACTGTCAGCACGTTGCATTTAATTGGCGTGTTGTTAGATTTATCTTTCTTAATGTTTAGGTCAAAGCCAAGCTCACCATTTATAATTAATGACTCTTTTCCTAATGCTATTTATTTTTTTGCCTAAGCAGGAAATCATAATAGCAGCTTTGGCTTCTTTATTCTTAATTCGTTTCGCTTTATTTAAGCCATAGTTTCCAGAAATTATTAATAAAGCTTATGAATTATTAAAAAAAACTGGTTTTGTATTCTTATTTTCTTGCCACACTTTCACTAAGCACAAATTAATCAGGGAATTAGCAGAGAATTGTTTACATTTAAAAGAAATTAATAAATGTTTTGACTATTGATTTCTATTATCATTTGTGACCCTTTTAAGACTTACAAATAACAGTCTCTTAAGACCAGTTTAATTATTATCTTTGTTTAGTTTTTAATACATTTTAAAACAAGTTTTATGTACTAAAAAACCTACATAAATTAATATCTGCAAAATGAAAAACGACCAGCCTCTTCCCGTCACTTTGGAGAACTCGGGTGAATGCTACTGGAGGTCAGCTTGCCTGGGACCGGCTTTCAAAGTCGAGTGACTCTTCACAAAAACGGCTAATAAGCGTCCAAAGTGCAACTGAAGATGTCAGACCAAAATCTTAACAGCTCTATGAGCACTGCCTCCTCTAAAGACAATATACAATGGACAATGGAGGGGCCGGCACAGGCGCATAACTTGTGACAGTCGAGTTGAATAATTATGGGCAGCAGCAAAAGCAACGGGCTAATTGTTAATTAGTTTGGCCGAGCAATCGACTCGGATCAGGTCGGTGAGGAACTGGGTCAATGTCGAGATGGTACGTGTTCGGATTCCGTGGGCGCCAAAGGGAACTGACCCCGCGGGATCTCACTTGTGCCAAGTGTGCGAATGACCTTCCCTCTGGCCCAATTTCAGGTGGCAGCCGGCAACAAGTGCCACGTAATTTGTCGAAAGTCGACATGCCCCCTCACATATAAATCACAGATTATTAATCGTACATCAAAGCATAAGCCCGAGTGATTAATTACCTCTTGTCTCTCCTCTCTTTCGACAGTTTCCACCGCGGTTGCTGCGAATCGCATTTGTGATATGTCTACTGATTGTATTGCTCTCGCCCTCTACAGACAGTGCGCAAAGTAAGTAACTTTATTTAATAATAATATTAAAATTTAATAAGTGTATTAAAAGATGTGACAAAAAGGTTTACCAAGGGGACACCCGGGTTTGAACCGGGGACCTCTCGATCTGCAGTCGAATGCTCTACCACTGAGCTATATCCCCACTTATATAAGGAGCTAGAAGATACCCAAGAAACGCCACCAAACGCTCACCCGATCTTGGTGCGTGGGCGAGGAATAATGCCTATCTTTGACTATTTTTAGTTCCTTCTTTAGTCGTCTATTTCTTTGCTGTAGTTGGTGGGCGGAAGTTGATAAACAACGACTGTTGACTTTGCCTTTCCTTATTTTGTAACCCATTGTATTGGTTATCTGTCATTATCACTTCACTTTACTTGTTGTTTAACCCATTGAAAAAAATTAATTAGAGAAAGGCAAAGGGCGTGGCAGCCAAGCCCTGTCAGATAACACCTTAGCTCCTAATTAAGCGGTAATTAAAAACAAATTATATAAGAAAACAAAGGAAACAAGGAAAACAAATGGCATAGACAAAACAGAAGTAAATATATTTCGAATAACCATCAGTTTTCATATAACTAGTTTGAAATGCAAATGTATAAAAGGCTGCAGACCGAGATTGGCTACTTCATTAATGATAATAAAGTCTTTTAACAGAAATTAGTTTCGTGCAAGCTACGAAATATGTGCAAATATTTAAGACGATAAAGGGGAACTACAAAAATACATTGAACATATTTATTGTTTGATTTAAAATCAAAACAGCAGACGGCTTTCTGTAAAATTTCACAAACTAAAGTGCTATTTTGTATTTACTTAAATTTTAAAATAAAACAAGTACTAGAAACAATATTTAAAACGAAAAAATAATAGCAAAAAACAAGGGGACACCCGGGTTTGAACCGGGGACCTCTCGATCTGCAGTCGAATGCTCTACCACTGAGCTATATCCCCATGTTGGCAGGCGGTGGCTAAACTGACACTTGATTGCTACCACCGCTGTTCTTGTTGAGAATTAACCCTCGGCTGGGCAAGAAAATTAAGCAGCCAAGTTATAAATAAAACGACTTGCAATTATACAACAGATTATACATGAAATTAAAATGCAATTATTTATGGCTCTTGCAGAAACATAAAAATGGATATTTAAGCATTTAAAGCTAGCCACAAATTACAAACGATTTGTTAAGATTATTACGTGCAGTGGAGGAAAATAATTCATTTGCCAAGGAAATCAGCTAAATAAATAATTATTTTAATAAAGTAATTGCTTAAGATGATGAAGGCTTTATTTGTAGAGTTAGCAAAAAGGTTTACCTAGGGGACACCCGGGTTTGAACCGGGGACCTCTCGATCTGCAGTCGAATGCTCTACCACTGAGCTATATCCCCAAGTGTGACTGCGGGCTCCACAGCAGCCTCCAAGTGCCAACAGTCGCCTCTATATGCTTAAAATTACATCAGAACAGAGCCTGATATCAGCAGAAAGTACTCCTAGAAAAATAAATGATAAGCACTGATCAGAATAACAATTCTAAAAAAATAAGAACAAAAAAGTTTACCAAGGGGACACCCGGGTTTGAACCGGGGACCTCTCGATCTGCAGTCGAATGCTCTACCACTGAGCTATATCCCCAGTTGGAGTTCAAGCGGCCAAACGGCAACTAGAGGCGCATGGCGAGCCAAGCGAGAAAGCTAAAAATAGCCACAGCACAAAACAGCCACCGCCTTCGCCCCCAGACCCTGGTCCCACCCCTTTTATTCGGTGCCGGCTGCTCTGTGTGGGCTTGCGCAGTGGAAAAATGCAAAAGATACGGCCATTAAATGAAATATTTAAACAGGTTTAGCAATATAATCTCGCATTGTTATTTCTGCTGCAACAATTCCAACTCATTTAGCGAAATTAACAAACGAAACCGGTGTGGGCCAAGCGGTATTCCATTAATAATTACGAATGCATGTTTGCTTTTGGCATCGGGCCCCAAAAGCAATATCTCTCTACCTTCGATATCTTAATTACTGGGGTTGCCTGGAGAATCGAGTAAATCTCAGCGTCACGACTTGGCCAGAGTTTTCGGCGGATTCAAAATGTATTTCGAACATTAATTCGAAATTATCGACACTCCACGATCGCAAGTGGTTGACAATCCAATCGCAATTGCCACTACGATCACCGATTGAGATCGAGATTGCGACAGCCAGCCCCGTCATTACCACACATTGCCGCACCGATGGCTGACGGCTGACAGATGACAGGTGCACACCAGCATCGCTCAGGTGCTCAGCTACTGTACTTTACGCTGTCGCCATGTGCTTTGGGATTGTGCAACCTCTGGGCAAGGTCAAGTTTTAAACACTTTTGTAGGTCATATGTGGGCGAAGCTCTCGAAATGAAAAGGGAGGCTGCCTACTTCATTTTATCAAAGAAAAGCCTAATTTTTTGTTAAATAAATAAATTCAATTTTATTAGTTCGATAAACTGCTTAAAAATTAATTATTTATAATATATGTTAACCTTTTAAGTATGTCTAAATTTATTTACATTAAAGGAAAGGTCCATCTTCTTAATCTGTATTAATTAATTATAGTTTAGAATAGCTAAGAATAAAATAAATTTATTTTATGTTTAAAAAATGTTAATAAATAAAATCCCGTTTCAGCCAAAACCCGTCGACGCCTGCGACGTCCCACAACGTCGGTCAGCTCGTCGCGAAGCAACCTCATCGACTCTAAGAAGTCCACTGAGGCTCCGGCTCCAGCGGCAGCGGAGAAGCGCAGCGATCAGATCACTGCCGCCACCACCACCAGTGTCCGGCGCACTCGTCTCCGCTCCAAGGCGAAACTGGGCGGAGCAGCTGCCGGAGCAGCAGCAGCGGCGGCTGGTGGCACTGCCCTGGTGGCCAGTGGATCCTCGCTGAAGGGCAAGAAGACCAAGGTGGATGATGGCACGCCCAAGATTGTGTGCTACTACACCAATTGGTCGCAATATCGCGTCAAGATCGGCAAGTTTGTGCCAGAAGATATTCCCGCCGATCTCTGCACTCACATTATCTTTGCCTTTGGCTGGCTTAAGAAGGGCAAGCTGAGCTCCTACGAGTCCAATGATGAGACGAAGGATACCACTCCCGGACTGTACGAACGTATGATGAACCTGCGCAAAGCCAATCCCAAGCTGAAGGTGAGTTATCTTAAAAAATGTCTAAAAAAAAACATTATGAATTTAATCTTGTTTATTTTATTTACAGATCCTTTTGGCCTTGGGCGGCTGGTCCTTTGGCACCCAGAAATTTAAGGACATGTCGGCCACGCGCTACACCCGCCAGACCTTTGTGTACTCTGCTATTCCCTTCCTCCGCAAGCGCGGCTTCGATGGCCTGGACATGGATTGGGAATACCCCAAGGGCTCTGATGACAAGAAGAACTTTGTCCTGCTGCTGAAGGAGCTGCGCGAAGCCTTCGAGGCCGAGGCCCAGGAACTGAAGAAACCCCGCCTATTGCTCTCCGCCGCCGTGCCCGTCGGACCCGACAATGTCCGTGGTGGCTATGATGTGCCGGCCATTGCCAGTTATTTGGACTTTATTAACCTGATGGCCTACGATTTCCACGGCAAGTGGGAACGCGAAACGGGACACAATGCCCCGCTGTATGCTCCCTCCACCGACTCCGAGTGGCGCAAACAGCTGTCCGTGGACAATGCAGCCAGTTTGTGGGTCAAACTGGGTGCTCCCAAGGAGAAGCTGGTCATTGGCATGCCCACCTATGGACGCTCCTTCACGTTGGCCAATACCGATAAGCATGGTCCCAATGCCCCCGCCTCGGGCGGTGGACGTGAGGGTGTCTATACCAAGGAGAGCGGTTTCTTGGCTTATTATGAGATCTGCGAGATGCTGCTCAATGGCGCTGTCTATGTCTGGGATGATGAGATGAAGGTTCCCTATCTGGTGGACGGTGATCAGTGGGTTGGCTTCGACGATGAGCGCGCCATCAGGAACAAGATGCACTGGATCAAATCGAATGGCTTTGGAGGCGCCATGGTGTGGACCATTGACATGGATGACTTCAAGGGTGAGGTTTGCGGTGGAAATGTCAAGTATCCGCTGATTGGAGCCATGAGGGAGGAACTGTTGGGCATTTCGCGCGGCAAGGAGGCCAAGGATGTGAACTGGACAGCCATTGCAGCCACATTTGAGGATATTGAAGAGGTGAGTTTAGGGGAAATAATCAAATAAATTAATAAAATTATTCATTTCTACGTTTATTTTAAATTCCAGAAACCTGAACCCATCAAGATCTCTGTGGATGAGGTCCTGAACAAGGTACGCAAGCCCCAGGTCCTTAAGAAGCAGCGCATCAAGTCTGGAGCCAATGCGGTGGATACAAACAGTAAGTTCACATCGCAATCCTTCCCCTAAAAAAAATCTCTAATCAAAACTCTCTATCCGCAGCTCGTCCCGCCCAGGTCTTCTGTTATCTGACCAGCTGGTCAGCCAAGCGACCGGGAGCTGGCAAATTCCAGCCGGAGAACATCGATCCCAAGCTTTGCACCCACATCGTTTATGCCTTTGCCACGCTCCAGGATTACAAGTTGACAGAAGCCACCGATGATGATCCCGAGAACTATGAAAGTGTGATTGCTCTGCGAGATGCCAATCCTGATCTGCAAATCCTGCTGGCCATCGGTGGCTGGGCCTTTGGCTCTACACCCTTCAAGGAGCTCACCTCCAATGTGTTCCGCATGAACCAGTTCGTCTACGAGGCCATCGATTTCCTGCGTGACTACAAGTTCAATGGCTTGGACGTGGACTGGGAGTATCCGCGCGGCGCCGAGGATCGTGTGGCCTATGTCAGTCTGCTGAAGGAGCTGCGTGTGGCCTTCGAGGGCGAGGCCAAGTCTTCGGGTTTGCCACGTCTCCTGCTCACCGCCGCCGTGCCTGCTTCGTTTGAGGCCATTGCCGCCGGCTATGATGTCCCGGAGATCTCGAAATACCTGGATTTCATCAATGTGATGACCTATGACTTCCACGGTCAGTGGGAACGCACTGTGGGTCACAATTCGCCGCTGTTTGCCTTGGAGTCTGCCACGGGATATCAGAAGAAACTGACCGTGGACTATAGTGCCCGGGAGTGGGTAAAGCAAGGTGCTCCCAAAGAGAAGCTTCTCATCGGCATGCCCACCTATGGCCGCAGCTTTGAGCTGGTCAACGAAACTCAATTTGATATTGGATCGCCCTCTTCCGGTGGCGGCAAGGCTGGCAAGTTCACCAACGAGGCTGGATTCCTTAGCTATTACGAGGTGTGCTCTTTCCTGGCGGCGGACAATACCACGCTTGTCTGGGACTCGGAGCAGCAGGTGCCCTTCGCCTACCGCGGCAACCAGTGGGTGGGCTTCGATGATGAGCGTTCGCTGAAGACCAAGGTGAGTAGGAAAATAATAATTCTTAAATTTAAATGCTTACCCAATGGCCATTTTACAGACCGAATGGCTGAAGGAGCAGGGCTTTGGTGGCATCATGGTCTGGTCCATAGACATGGATGACTTCTCCGGCCGCTGCGGCAGTGGCAAATATCCCCTGCTGAGTGCCTTGAGCGAGGAGCTGAAGGACTACAAGGTGGAGCTGGAGTACGATGGACCCTATGAGTCCCACGGCCCACGAGGAGCCTACACCACCAAGGATCGTAAGTGGTTATAAGATTATTTTATATATAATATAAATACAATTAACATTTACCCATCCATTTTAGCCCACGAGGTGACCTGCGCGGAGGAGGATGGACACATTAGCTACCACAAGGATTGGGCTGACTGCACCCACTATTACATGTGCGAGGGCGAGCGCAAACACCACATGCCCTGCCCCGCCAACCTGGTCTTCAATCCCCAGGAGAACGTCTGCGATTGGCCCGAGAATGTCGAGGGATGCCACGCGCCAACGGAGGCGCCTGCCTAAGAGAGATCCGCGTAGCGAAGGATGTTAATATTGTTAATATTATATAAAAGCGATGCCCTAAATTTAGTTTTAAGCGCGAAACTGCCACAAAAAAAATCTTTTGCTGCCGCCGTCCCCGCCCGAAAACTAACGAAATACTCGAAAAAAAAAAACGTTGCTAAATTTCGTCTGAATTTTTTGTACACTAATTATAGTTCTAACTTAGTTAAGTAAGTAGTTTTTATGTCTTAGTTACAAATTCGCGCAAGAAACAAAGGAAACAGAAAAACTGAAATCCCGAAAACACAACCAGAACTTTCTTCTAGGCTCCCAAAACTAACTCTCGCACTCTCTCCCGTTCTATATGGTTTATATGGAAAGCGATAGAAACTTCCGTATAGCAAACTGTGATAATCATAAGAGACCAATAACCAACCAAAACCAGATCGGCCCTAGAAATCACTATCCAAATTCGTATCCCCTAAAAAAAATAAAACCAAGCGAAACAGTTTCCGCTATATCCATCTTTCTGCCGCTTTTGCCCCTCCTAATATATCTTTCTTAAACTCTTTGAAACACAAAAAAAAACTCAGCACACAGTGAAAATTTGTACATTTTCAAGTTTTAACAATAAAATTTGTATTATAGAGTTGTAATTTACGTAGTTAAAATAAAAAAAACATAAAAACCAAGGTATGCATGGGTTCTTTATAATTTTTAAACACAAGAATCTCTTAATTTAATATTAATTTGTTAAATTTATTCATTATGGCCCCAGTCTTGCAACAGGGCACTACTAAAAATTATTTTAGACTCATTAGAGTGCTCCTCTCCACGGAAATCTTTAGTAAAAGGCGAAAGATTTATTCGACAACTGAAGAGAAGCCAGAGTGATTTGCCCACTGTTTTCCTCGGCTACTCCATGCCGGCGCTGCCACAACTGGTTGGGAATTATACGCAGCCTGGCTCGAGCGGAAAATGCCACAAACTGTTGCACACCTTCGGGCGCGGAATGTGAAAGTCACCCTCGGCTGTGAAATAATTTCTCTGAGCAGCCTGCCGCCGAGTGCGCATGCCCTCGAATTTTGTTTACCGGCATTATTGCTCTTGCTTTTCATTTGTTTATATTATTTACCTCCGATCTACAGTTTTATAAACATTTTAAACTAAAATTTCAAGGAAAAGTTTCACTCTGCGGCTTAAATCAGTTAAGTATTTTATTATTTAATTATTATTAATTTAATATTAGGTTCTCCACACTCTATAGTAATAAAACCTACTTATCAAAACTGACAACGGAAATATATTTCGATTTTAGCGTTTTGTTCAATTTAAAAACATATATGAAGGTAAATTACAGAAGGTTTTTAAAGTAAATGTTTAAAATTAATACTAATAAAAATAAAAAGAAACCCACCCACAAACCCCCAAAGAAAAACACTTGATTTAAAAATTTTATGATTTTTTTTATTGGTTTTCTCAAAAAGTTGTTTGTTTTTTTTTACATTTTGTGTTTTTTTTATATCATTTTTACTCGTATCTCGTTTTTTAATTAAATAATTAGTCTTACGTTGATGTACACAATAATTTAAAAATAAAGTACGCAATAGTAATCTTGACCAAAAAACGGGTAGAGAGAATAAAGCATATAAAAGTTGTAAAACAAATAATCAAGAAAAAATATTGCAAAAATTTTGTTTGTGTAAATAACATTCGAGGAGCAACTCAACGGGTTACAAAAAAATTTGGATAAATCACACTAAGAACTGGTAAACGAACCACACAGCAACATCATAATCTACTACTGATTTGAATAACACTTAGGATAGAATTACCGAAAATTACAGACTGTTTTTTGTCTAGAGGGGGATAATTATAATAAATTTGATCCTTAAAATTTCGTTCGTTTCACACCTTCTTGTTTCCCATTCCCTTCGTTGGAGCAACAGAAAATGATATCAATCAATCTCGAAATCAAGTTGTACTTAATTATGTATTAAAAAGTTGTTTCTTCTTTTGTTTTCAATTTCAAGTGATTTCTGGTGGTGGTGCGGAGTAGTTGAAGCCTTTTTTTCGATTTCGACTGGGTGATATGCAGCAACGCGACTTCCGGATGGGAACAGGATATACGTATAGCATTTGGTGGCGGAAGTTATGGAAGTTGCAGGGAGTCGAGTTGAGTTTAGTTAGAGTTGAGGAGTGTTTTGTTTTTAGTTTACAACTATAGAGACAGACTTTCCTTAGCAAAATATTGTACTCGGATGTTTCAGCGCATGCTTGGCCATAAATACTACACATTCTGCATACTATATATGCCTATATAATATGGACCAACGCAAAATAGTTCGAATATGCAGAATGCCTGGCGTGTGTGTGTGTCTGTGTTTCGAGTGTGTCTGCCGAAGACTCTCTTTCAAAAATGGATGTCTATGTACATATCACGCTGTGGCCTAGACTTTTTCAGTTGCTTTAGCGGTTTGGACTTTACTTTCGAGAGCCGCGCTGCAGCTGTGCGTCGTCCTTCGTGTGTTCCATGAACCAACATTTTACATTTCTTTTTCTCTTTACAAATACATAGTTTCACATTTTCGTTTTGTTTTTCTTTTGGTTTCTTTTTGTAAACTTTTTAAATTGTATTTAGAAAATTTGTTTGTGTTTCATTTTTGGTTTTTCTCTTTTTTAATTTTTGTTTGTTTTTCGTTTTTAAAATATTTTGCTATAAAAAATACACAGTTGAAAAATAAAAAACGTTTCTCGGTTGCTGTTGTTGTTGTTCTTCTTCTCCTGCCCATCTACGTCCGCTTTACCTTCAGCTTTCTCCGTTTTCCTTCTATCGTTTCGTTTCGTTTTTTTTTTTTAATTTTCTGTTTGTTTTGTTTGTAGGGGAGAAGAGAGGCAGGCGATCATTGTCACGACATGCTTTATAAACATTTGATGTGGTTCCTTGTTCACGTTCTTACATAATCCTTATTAGTCCTTAGTCCATCTACATCTGCACTTGAATTTCTCGATCCTTTTTTTGTTGTTTGCTCAACGATTTTGCTGCCTTGTTTTTTTGTCATTACAGTTATTACACATATTTATTGTTTTGCAAAATTTTACAATTTTTTTCTTTTTCGATTTTTTAATACATATTTTATAAATACTTTCATCCTCTCTTCCTTTCTCTCCTTCTCTCTCTTACATTTTCTCTTAGCTCTGTAAAAATAGATCCATGTGATTTCTTTTTCCCATTTTTTATGCGTTTTTTCCTTTTCCTTTTTTTTAACAAATTTTTCAAATTTTTTTTCTTGCTTTTAAGTTTCTGTGTTTTGCTTTTGTTTTTATATTGTTTACATTTTTTATGATTTTTTTCTTTTGTTTTTGGAGAGATTTCGTTTTCAAAAAGTTGGTTTTTGAGTTGCTTTTTCTTGTTGTTGCTGGTTTATTTTTTTGTGGTTGTTGCTTCTTTTTTTGTTTTGCTTTTAAATGCCTAAAATGTAGTTAAGATCTAACATTAACATTGGATATCAGTTTTTCATCTGCTTTTTTTTTTTTTATTTTTTTTAGCTTTTGCTTTTGTTTTACTTTTCTTTTTCGGTTTTTTGGGCTTAACAATATACAGTTTTCGTACTTTTACTCTTGTTTAATGGTTCTCAAATGTCTTCTTAGTCGTAATGAATGTTTCGCTTAAACGCTAATCCGTTTCCTCTTTTTAATCGTAGTCGCTCTCTCAGTGGTCGTAGGAGGAGGTGGTGGCTAAGTGAGCTGCGCGTGTTTCTAGTTTCCTGCTTCCCGCCGAGATGCTCTCTCAGTTGGCCGCACTTGACATCAGTTCGGAGAAGGCGTTCTCCAGACAATTCTTGAGTTCAGCATAGGAGACAATGAGTACCGATTGCTCGTCGCGTGACATCAGTTGCACCTGGTAAGAATGTGTCAGCGGAGATTCCCCAATATATAGTATTTTCCGAGTTTACTTACGCGCTCTATGGAGCCAGCGTCCAGCTTGTTGAGGCATTGGACAATATGTGCGTGATCTAGCCAGGGCCGGCCATCCTCAGTGACGGAATGGAATAAATAATCACGGAATAATTTCAACATGTATCTATCACCAGTCTCGGACCAAGTGCAGTCCAAATTGAAGCTGTAGGGAAATAATATTTATGAAAAAAAAACAGAGTGTAAAGAATTTCTTCCTTAAAAGCCAAGACATTTTAGCTACTTTAACTTACTCGGGTCGCTCATTGATGCTGTTTAGTTTGACCAAAATGCGATACAACCGCCCATTCTCCATCTCCTTGGCCAGCTCGTCCTCCTGCATATCGATCTGACTCTGGAGCGCATCCAGTTGCGTATAAAAGCGGGCACCAATCATTGGCATTAGATCGGTAACCGAACGACGGTTATTCGTGGTGAAGAGGTAACTATGAGCAGAGAAAAATTATTAATAGAAAATAAATTAAAGAGAGCTAGATATCACAGCTTACACTATAAAGTTACGCAGATCGGTGGAGTAGTTTCGCGTGACCATGTCGATGCTCGACTGGACATTGTCGCGTTGCACGGATTGGAGGCAGCGGCAGGCCAGAGCTAATACTAAGCGACCCAAAGCAGTTAGATCGTCCTAAGAAATGGAAAATTAAATATTATTAATAATTTTAAATAAATAAATTAAAATTCTTTGCTTACCTGCTGATGCATGTTGACCAAAGCCAAAGGATTGGCCGCATTTGGATCGAATTGCGTAATGTCTGAGATGCAGCAGGAGCTAAACCTAACACGCTTGCCCGTCACTATGATCTTTGTGGGATCCAGAACCCTATACAAAAATAGGTTAATTTCATTATTAATTATATGAAAAATCAAGGCCTGGGCTTTCACTTACTTGCAAGCTAAACCCGCCTGATGTATAGCCCTTAGGCCAGCGGTTAGCTGCATAATTATCGACCAGATGGTGGCCTCCGGCAGCAAAGGTCCATTGCTAGTTCGCTGCATGTTGCTCTTATGACTGTGGGAATTAAGGAATATGTTATATCATACGATCTGTATGTGTTAAGTTTGAGAAAAACCCACCTGAAGGGGCGTGCTTCGCCTTGGAATGGATCTGTGTAACCATTGGTCTCTGGCGCCGGTGTAAAGTATTTGGCCAGCAATGTTTGTGAGCCGGGATAATAGTCGTACACTAATACTAAAGCTGTAAAGGGAAGAGGTTTAAACATTATTGACTTGGTTATAGGGTTGCATCTTAGTTATAATGAACTTAACTCCCGTAAATCTTAAGAGCTTAGAATTTATTTTTTTTTTTTTTTATTATCTTTTTTTGATAATTTAAAATAATTCATGATAATGCCTTGGTAAGATAGCCGATGTTATTTGAAGCCATAAATAGCAAATAGCTGAATCAGTTATCGTAATCAGTTTTGACAAGCAAAACAATAGATGTTTTATTAGTTTCCTGATTATTATTCTTTGATTAGCAAATTCAATTTGAGCTATTTTTAAACACAACCTTCAATAAGACTTCCTTCATCATTTTTACAATTAGTTTCAAAGTCAATACCTTGCCAAAAACTCTATATTTATAATTTCTCTGCTTACTCCCAGGAGAAACATTTATAACACATACACTAATGACCCAACCCACCATCACCTTTCCCTCAAAAACACTTACAGTTATCACCAAATGCTTTCGTCGTGAAAACCTCACGCAATTGTACCACATTCGTGTGCTGCAGCTTCTTCCACATCTCCACCAGCGTCATGCACTTGGTCGACTGCAGACGGAACCCTAATAAACACAGAAAATTTTCAATTAGTTTATTTAAATAACAGAAAAAATATATTTAAAAGGTGACATGTGCTCACCGTGTAACCTTCGCAGGCAGTACTTGTAGCCCGTCGTATTGTGCGTGGCCCGGTACGTGCTGGCGGGTAGCGTTAGCTTGGCATGCATCGGCTGCGCCGGCGGTTCTAGAGGATACAAAGCATGATAGTTGTCCACCTCCATGGGCAGGGCATGCTGTGCCGCCTCCGCTGCATCCATAATCAAATTGGAGATCTCGTTGCGGGCAAGGATTTCGGTACGCATCTCATCCGGTATAAAGAAGGCCGATTCCAATTGCGTCTTCGGTTGCAGCGTGATCACATTGGATGCCGGTCCCGGATATACATGGCCCGTGTACATGAGCGTTGATGGAACACCGCCAACGGCGCTCATTGGCGCCACAGCACTGACGCCATGGTGGGCGGGATGCGTTGTGTCCACCACCACGGAATTGACAACGGGCTGGCTATTCTGTGCGTTGGCAGTTGGATAGAAGTAGATGGTGCCGCCAACATTCTCCTGTATAATTTATAGGAAGCATAAGAAGCATTCTTCAAAAGGAAAGATCACACACAACACCAACCTGATGGACGCTCGTGGGCAGCGTTGTGGGTATGGGTGAGGCTCCGTGCGGCGTCATACCATGCGGTGGCGACTTTTCGCCCGGACCACCGCCCGCCAGCATGGCCGCCGTGGGTGATTCCTGGCGTAGCATTGCACCACGACCCTTCAGCGGTGTCTGGGCGGACATGCTGCTAACAAAGGGAGCAGCGGCGGGATTCGGTGGAGCGCCACTTATTGCTATGGGGGCAGAGACAGCCGACACTGCTCCACCGCCCACCTGTAGTGGCGGCTGCTGCTGTTGCTGTTTCTGGGGATGCTGCGACTGCTGTTGCTGCTGCTGCTGTTGTTGTTGTGCGATGTTGACAGTGGCAATAGAGGCGGTCTTTTGCAGGGAAAGCATGGAGGCACCGCCGTTGGCCGTTTTGCTAATGGTCACGGAGGAGGCGGCAGACACTGACGACGTGGATGAGGGCACTGAGGCGGACGCTGCGGCGGCTGCTGCTGCTGCTGCGGCTGCTGCTGCTGCTGCAGCGGCTGTTAACCCATTGACGCCACTGAGCCCATTACTCAATTGCATGGGCGCGTTGTGATATGGTGCGTAAAAGTTGGGCGACGAATTAATGCGCGTTGGAATGAACTCGGGCGACTGCGGCGTGACCTGTGGGGAATACATTTGATTAAAGGATTAAAGTAGGGATTTTAAAAGCTTAAGACTTTAGATTATTTATTAGGCAAGAGTTAGCGAAAGGGGATTTAACATTAAACTATGAGTTTAAGATAGTTTTTCAACTTTAATAATATAAATAACTCCCTTTAAGAATCACATTTCGCTAGATTTTGCCAAACACTACAATAAAAACACACACATAAATATAATAAAAAACTTACTTTTATACATTTTTGGTAATACAAAATTACTACTTTTAAGTACTTCTACTTTTAACATACAAACACTATAAAATATCTCTATATAAAAACCCGAAGGAGTATACTAAAACCTCTACTGAAGCATGTACATATACAATTCTAGAACATTATCTCTGAATGTCACAGATCACAGACAGAACGGGGGGGATTGTTGGTTGGTTAGAGGGGGCAACCAGATATTTTCGGCTTTACCTGGGACTTTTTATTTAAGGGCGAATCCAAATTAAGTAGTGAGAACCCGTTATTCAGCCCATAACCGCTCGGTGTGGCGACATTCTGTCGATTCTGAGATATGAAGACACCAAAAATCAGTTCAGATTTGGAGAGTTCGGAAAGTCAGAGAAATACAAAATAGAGAAGAATGAGAGATAGAAAAGGGGAGATATGTTCAGTTAGGGAAAATAATAAGTAGAGTTCATTTAGAGTTATAGATATTGACTGTAGAGGAATAGCAACAAAAGAAGGCAGGTGTGTAGTAACAGGGTTTGTTGAAATTGGAGTTTTTGTTTTTGTAGTTTCCCAAGTGAGTTAGATATTGTGTATGTTTTTTCTATGTATTTACTATCTTATCTGAAATATCAGACATTGCAGGGCTAGGTGAGAACGTTATGTTCTTTACTAAGCTATATTTTATTTTTCTATTATATTTATTTATTGTAAAAGGCAGTAAAAGGCAGTAAAAGGAGTCATTTCCGACCCTTAAAATATATATATTCTTGATCAGTACTAATAGACGCGTCTTTCTAGCCTTGTTTGACTTGCCGATGCTAGTTCCTTTCTAGTTTATTTTAATAAAATATTTAAATAAAATAAAATAACTCCCTACAAAATATTTCAGTTCTTCCTATAAATAAGCAATATAAAAATTCCCTTTACCTAATTTGCTTAATAATTTTTGTTGGTATTTCAAGCCACATTCTCATTGCTTTGCTCTACTCCATTGGATTTGCTGATCTTTAAATTATTTAAATGCATTTCGAGCGTAAAATACACGCAGAATGCAATTAAATTCCATATATTTTTACCATTAGCACACTTCCAAAGCAATTTTGCAGCGGCAGCAGCTAATACAATGGCCTCCACTTAAATATTTTATTGTTAATAATGCTACAGAGCTTTTCCAGTTTATATGCATGGACTTTTGCACACCCCTGGGAGCGAATAAAAAATCCATGCATAAACACAAATTGATATTTAACGTGTGCAAACACACACACACACACAACACACCGACTTTATATGGCAGTTTGTTGTGTGTGGTTCCTAAAATAATAAAACCAAAAAGTCGGTCAAGTGTATATTATGTGCGGCTGAGCGTTGAAATTGAAATGTTTCGAAGCAAATTGAGTGAAAACAAATAAAGCATAATTAAAAATACTTGAGCAAACGTGGCCAGCTGTTAACTTTTGGGGGTATAAGCATGGTAAGCAGCTGTTTTTCTTCCGGTTAATAAAATTATTAAAACTTAAGGTTGTTTTTCAAATGCTGTGTGATAACAATATGAATATCTAGGGGCCCAGTACTGGAGGTCTCAGGGGACTCTGATTACTTGGAAAGAAGGATAAGGAAATCAAAACTTACCATATATGTTGCGAGTTTACTCTCTGACGGTATACCATTCGTTTGCGAGAAGAAAATTGGATCCATAGCAGCCGTATCTGGAAAGGGGAGAGAGGGGAAAGCTTGGCATTACTACACACAGACATATGATGATAATTGATTAGAAATCAATTAAACAAACATCAACAGAAATACTTGGTGTGCCATCGATAAGCCTGCCTACCCCATCAAAATATTCCGCCTGTGTGTTATATTTCTCTCTTCTGTTGTTATTTCCTCTTTTTTTTATATTTTTGTTATTTTCCACAGTTATCGTTGCGATAGGAGGAGGCCTAGCATTTTTGGAGTATGCGCAATATAAACATATATAGATAGACCGCTTCTAATTCTGCTTCATTTTTTGTTGTTGCCGAGGTTCCCAGTCAAAGTTAAAGACGCAATTTCAGCGGTAAACAACAAGAACTACTATATAGGCGTCGGTTCCTACAGGCAGCTGACAGGTCTTTTTTGAATTTGTATCTCACAAGTTTCACCAAAAAAAAATATATATACTATATACGATCCGATTTTGTGGCTCAGCAGATACTATGTCTCTGGTGTTAATCACTATACCTTTCTGCTGTATAGACAAGTCGGAAGCAGCGGCGTCATGACGAATCAAACGTTCTTATGCTTAAAAGTATCTATCCTCCTCTCGCTTTATTTCTTTCTATAAATTTTGAACGGATATTCGAGAGTTGAATCAATGCTAAGCGGACTCTGAATTTTTCATTTCGCTAAGGCGACTTTGTGAAAGTGAAACAATAAAAACAAAAACAACAAAAATAAAATGTAATTATAAAAGCAAAACATTTGTTTTTGCATCAATTTCGGGGTACGGGGCCAATGCCTCAAGTGAAAACAAGTGATATTGGCCTTGAATTCTGTATACTTATATACACCCCACAGATACCCGTTCGTTGTACGTACGTAAACTTTTTATATTTATATGGAGCAGGTTGTATTATTCGCTTTTCGTGCAATTTCGGGTAGAGAGAGGTAAAAGTCAAGAGCTTATTTATTTATTGATTGAATTTTAAGTAGGTAAGAGTAAAGCTATGGGTTTATTCCATATTTTTAATATATATGTTTAATATTCCAAGAATTAAAAATTAATAGAGCACTCTCTTGGCAACCTATATAATATATTTAAATTTATTATACAATTTTTGTGATAACATTATTTCATTATTTTTCTATTCTAACTAAAAGGTAATTAAAAATTTTATTTGAATTGGTGACTGAATAAGCCATAGGATACTCTTCTATTTATTGTAAAGGAACAATTAGTAATACACTTTTTTAATACTTTTGTGGTATTAAAATTTTATATAAATTCCTTATGTTTTTTTTTTTTTAACGTGACTAAATTGATTTATTTTGTATTTGAGACACGTAAATTATAAAAAAGAAAGGATTTCCTTTAGGAACAATTATCTGAAAATATTATAAATATTCTTTATCAGTATCCACAGATTATAAATAAAACTCCTTCTTAATTTCCAAAGAATAAATGCCAAGAATATCATTAATTAATTTTTAAGAACACCCAAGAACACCCCACCAAAATCTGTTTACTAAGCAACAAATTCATTTAATTTCGGCCCACTGTGGTTGTTTATGAAGCCGTTTCCATATAAGTAATATTTTGTAGCCCGATTTTATTTATTTGCCTTTAAATTTGAAAACAAATACAAGAACAAGAACACAGAACGAACGCAAAACGTTTTAATTGAATGCCTATTTTAATGATAATTGTTATGTTATGTGAGTGTGCTGCGCGTTATTATTTGTTTTTATTCACCAGAGTAATTACGAGAAGCAGAGGAGGAGAGAGAACGCCAGAGACAGGGTGGGCGATAACCTGTTACCTGTGTAGCAACAGTTTGAGAGCCACAAACAGGTGTTTTTCCAACTTACTTGGACATGACCGACGACACACAAGTGCCTTTAGAACCGCTGAGAACGAACCCACAGTTAGTCGTTTGTTTTTTTACTTTACATTCGCATTTATATTTTCATTTACATTTACATTAATTATAAACCACTGAATTTCATTTGTTGGCATGACATCGGGTGAAAATAAACACTATATAGCCGCTATATGTCTATATTTCACGGGCTTTACATGATCAAGTTCGACGTGAATGGTATTATGTATAGAAAAACCAATGATTATTGGGCTGGTTTGCCTTATGTTGCTTTTCGCCGCGGTGAAATTGCTTCGGTTTTTGGCTTTGGCTTTGTTTTGCTTCAAAGATCACGAACGCGTTCATGAAAACGTATATATGTATTATATTTATACGTATATATAGTCACACGTTTGGGGAGCAGGCCAAACAATAACAAAAAGTACTCTGTTACGTCACGTAAAGCGAATATGTAGATGTGGCAGAGCGGTTCGTTTCGTATATGTAGCTGCTGCTAACCGCATGTAACGCTCACTCCGTCATTTTGTTGTCTTTATATTTCGCGCTATCTGAGCATTAAGTGTAATGCATATTCAAGCGGGGGATCGGTTCAGATCGGTTAGTATCGGTTTGGATCGGAGACGGGGAGACCCACCATAGATCGCGCCACGAACCACGGACAAGCAAATCACGAGCCACGACGAACCCCACCAACCAAGCGGCAGAGCAGCGTTCTCTCAACTGAAAACGGCAGCCGGAATCGGAATGGGAATGGGACAAGCGATTGGGGAAAAGCGAATGCAGAGCGGGCCCCATAGCACAGTGGGAGGAATGTCAAAGAATCTGATTAAAAATATTAAAAATATTAAAAAGAAAAAAAATAAGGTATATAGAAATGCACTCAAAATATAAATTTGAACTATAAAACATATTTAATATAAAAAAATTATAAAAAAAATTATAAAAAAAATTTATAAAATAAAATTTATGTAAAAAAAATTAATATAAAAAAATTTATATAAATATATAAATTAATAAAAAAAAAATAATTCTACATTTTAATTCTAGTCTAGACATGACTATTTGTCCCACTGTGCAGCTCTCAAGAGCAAGACTGAGAGCGAGTGCTAGCCCCACAGTGCTGCTCAAACTGTGTGACGATGACAGACGAGCGGCGAAGACAAAGTGGGCGTGTGGCGTAGTGCGATGTGGTGTGGTGTGTTGTGGTGTGAGTCTTGCTTGCTCGCCAGCTCGATTAACTGTAAATATGTGGCCATCAGTGCAGTGTTGTTGGTGTTGATTTTGCTGCACCAACAGTCAAGCCTCTAAAAGCCAAATTCATGTTATACCAATTAAGGGTTTAATACCAATTTTAATGCTTTCAACAATTCTATGAATAAGGGATATTTTGGAACTGGCATTCTACATTTTTGTAACAAAATAAAACCCAAGTACTACAATAGGTTTGGAACTTAAAGACAACAAAGAAGATTGTTGTTAGGCTCCAAAGCAAAAGTTCTGATCCCAACCATGTTTTTAAAATATTATTTTATATTTTAATCGAAATAATTTTCAGAATACATTGATATTTTTTCACAATTTCCACTGTAGGTGGGAAAGTTCAAGCTAAGCAGGCAAAGAACAATGAAAATCCATTCGCTTTGTTTGTTTATTTTATTTCTCTTACAGCACTGCGAAGTGTGCACAGTTTGAGAGGCCCTACCATTCCGATTCCGATGCCGACTTCGATTCCAATGACCCCCATTTATTCCAAACGATCAGCAGGGAGAATTGCACTCTGATTGTGCGATCATGTGTTTGTTGTTTGCCCCATCATGATTGCCGAAACGAGTTTTTTGCGGATCTAATTATGGTCAGGCATTATTATTATTATAAGCGATCATCTGATAAGTTCACATTGGCGGCGGGAGGGAGCGTATGGCCCACACGTGGCCATCGCGCCATGGCATGCAAAGCGCTGTCAGTGTAATAATAATTCATTATCAGCCTAACCGCAGTCAGGCACCAACGACCAACAGGCGGGTGTATCTCTACTATATGTATATATATAGAGGCGAACACCTATATATTACACATAAGGGCTGTAACTCAACAAACTTACATACATAGATCGGACCACATTATGTATTAAAAGCTAAAGATCACACGATATTGATAGGAACAAAAGTTGGACGGCAACAACAACTAACGATCGCCGGTTACAGCACACTTTTCATTTTCAGCTTAAAGATAAGAGAAGATTTTCAGCTTAAAGATAAGAGAAGATAAGATTTTGACAGCTTTACCTAAAATGTTACTAGCCACGAGCCCATAAATCTAAGCAATGTATTAAGTAATTAAAAATAAATATATGAATAGCAGTAGCCAGTAAAACAAAAGCAAAAAGATTAAATAAATATCAAAAAGCTAAAGACAGATAACTGCTTTTAAGATTTAAAGAGTAAAATAAATAAATAATAATACGAAGTACAAAAATATAACACTAGTTGTAAAATTAAACCCTATTTGTTGCTTGCTTTAAGCTTTACAAAATGAAATTCATGTAATAACTGGGAAAACAATTACATCACCTGGCAAATCACTTAATTTTGTAATAACTGATTACAGAAGCTAAAAGCAATTTATTAGCAGCAAACTTGGCCACAATTACAGAACAATCGATATATTAAATAACTGATTAAGTTCGCTTAAACACAATGAATAAAATGACTTCATGGCAGGCTTTATTTCATTACTCTATCTGATTTTAGTCAACAAAACTGGTTACTAATGTTCAATGAGCTTGAACTTTGAGCTTAACTTTGCTTGTGAGATTCGTTTAAACAATTCGAGATAATATTTACTAATATTAAGTGCCTATGTAGCACTAGGTATTTTTGGTATGCAAACCTATTAACTATCAATCTTTTCTAAGGTATTTAAATTTAGCAAGATAAATTAATAATAATACTTTTGATTTTGAAAAGTGACTTTAAACGACCGATGCTAAGGCTAGATAAAACATATTTTATGAGCTTGAACTTTGAACTTTTATGATTTATTTAAGCCATATGTATATTGGACGTACTAATTGAAAGATAAATACTAACATGCTTATGACTTTAGTGCAATATTAAAAGTGGATTTTC